GTTGTGGGATTCTTAGGATATAGTCCAGTGATGGCAAACCTATGACATGCGTGTCAGAGGTGACACGCGAACTCATTTTTTTTTTTTGGTTGATTTTTCTTTGTTAAATGGCATTTAAATACATAAAATAAATATCAAAAATATAAGTCTTTCTTTTACTATGGTTGCAAAGATAAAAAAATTTCTATGTGACACGGCAACAGAGTTAAGTTAGGGTTTTTCAAAATGCTGGCACACCGAGCTCAAAAGGTTCACCATCACTGCACTAGAGAATGAAAAAATGATAAAGGAAGAGGTGAATTAACATCCTGGAGGAAGAGGAAATAGGTGGGGTTGAGAATATTAAGTGGAATGATTAGTGTGAGTGGAATAACATTTCTTCGATGAGATTAATGTTATTAGAATGTACCCTTCTAGATGAAGGAAGCTGGAGGGAAATTTAAAGGTGAGACCAAGGGAAATAATGCTAGGGGCCTGGGATGAGGAATAAGGAGAGATCCATTATTCATTAACAAACATTTCTCCTTCCATGTGCCAAGAACTGTGTTAGATGCAGTGAAAAAAATTAAGTGGTAAGCTTTACCGACTTTTCAAATGATATTCCCACCTGCTACTCATAGCAGCGAGAGAGAGAGAGAGAGAGAGAGAGAAAGAGAGAGAGAGAGAGAGGTTGTTACACTTATTTATTCATTCATTGGTTGATTTATGTATGTACCCTGACCAGGTATCAAAACATAACCATGATGTATTGGGAAGATGCTCTAATTAACTGAGCTACCTGACCAGGAAGAAGTCTATTATTTAGATGAGGGTAGACCATATTAATAATTAGGAACCTCAGTAATGCTTGAGTATGTTACAAAAGGACTTTAACAAATTGTGTATATTCTATATTAAGGGTTTATGTTTGACTTTTTATCTAAAATGGGGTTTTCTTCTGTTGTGTTCCCTCATCAAGAGATTTAGCGTGATGTGTCAGTTACCCACTGCTGTGTGATAGACAACTCCAAAAATAGCAACCTAAAACAATAATCCTCAGTTATTGTGTGTGTGTGTGTGTGTGTGTGTGTGTGTGTGTGTGTGAGAGAGAGAGAGAGAGAGAGAGAGAGAGAGAGAGAGAGAGAGAGAGAGAGAATTGAACTCACAAGCTTTTGGGATGCTCCAACCATGTGAGCCACCTGGCCAGGGTAAAACAGTGCTTATTAAAAGAATCATTGTAACATTTAATGCACTACATAGACATAGTTACTAGTAACTGAGTTTGCTTCTTGTTGACTAACTTATTCCTATCACCCTAAATCTGGGTATCAGCTGTTAGGGAAGATTCTGGCAAATGAAGCATGATTGTGATTTGTAGTGCAAATATCACATTAATCATTTTTGTTTTCTGCATCAAAAGTGTCCCAGCTAAACAATCTGAGAGATTAAATAGCTTCTCATAATTCCCAAGTTGCTAAATAGCAGAAAGGTATTACCAAATCACTGCTGTGGGTCTCTGCTGGTGAGTTCTCATGGAAAACATTTTTTAAAACTTTGAAGCCTTAGGAAACACAATTGCAATTTAAAAGTTGTTTGTCCTGGAATATATAAACAATCTGTTGCTATTTCACTGCCAGAATGTCAGTTACTTTACTAAAAATGTGACAGCACTGGTCACCTTTTATTTTCACTTTCAGTGCTTTATTTGTGCATTTCTTCTATGTTAACTTTTAAAAACTGATTTTAGGAAATTTTGAATTCGACAGTGTTCCCTCATGATAGCTAATGATGTATGGTACCAACATCTCTAACACTAATAGGCACTTAAATATTTTTGTTGGCTTAATTATTTCTTGTAGCATTCCTAATGGTACTGTGTAACTTATTTGGTCCTCCTCATTTCACCTCAGCCTATACATTAGGCCTCATTTCTTGTCTTGTAATTCCTATGTAGTTTTTGAAAATGGTCATTTTTCTTTTTTAAAAAGACTCCTTGCAGTATCTTGTTTCAAAGAGAACCGAGTAGCAGTTGTAAAGGGAAGGGTATGTGATATCTCTTTGTGTCTCTTACAGGTTTATTGAGAAAGAATACTTGAGAATGGATTATAGATAATTACTTCACAAGGAGCTTTTAAAAATCCAATTACAAGATTTTGAATTTAAGTGGAGAAATGTGTGTGTGGGGGGGAGGGTGGGCAAAAGTTGCCGGCTCACTTCAATGCAATGTGCTATTTTGCAGAATATCACGCCCATCTTGGGAGTTTAACTGTGGGAGGACTTTGTAATAGAACTATAACATGATTCCACAGATGGCATTATGATGAATCTCCTGTATGTGTTCATTTAATTTCAGGGGCTGCTACACTAAACAATAAACCAAATTTGAGAGCCCGAATCCGGATATATCCTGTCACTTTCTTTCCCGGTCAGTTCAATCAAATGTCATTTTGTTCCATTGTATATGGACAGGATGAATTTCAACTAAGAGAAAATTCAACCTGAGTGACAGATTTCTTCTTAAAGTTACTTTTGATTTCATTTTGGTTCTTCTTTGCTGTGAAACCACACAATGAAATGGAAATCGGGAT